AAAAAAAAAAAAAAAAAAACTAAGCCTTTGAGTTGTCTCCCAAGCTGCAGAGGCCATCCTCTCCTCAGGCAGCAGCACAGTAAATTGGCTCCGAAGGCAGGAGATTGGGGTTTAGGGTATTAGGGTGTAGGGTTTAGGGTATTAGGGTTTAGGGTTAAGGGTTTAGGGTATTAGGGTTTAGGGTATTAGGGTTTTGGGTATTAGGTTTTAGGGTATTAGGGTATTAGGGTTTAGGGTTCAGGGTTTAGGGTATTAGGGTTTATGGTTAAGGGTTTAGGGTATTAGGGTTTTAGGGTACTAGGGTTTAGGGTATTCGGGTTTTGGGTATTAGGGTTTAGGGTATTAGGGTATTAGGGTTAAGGGTTAAGGGTTTAGGGTATTAGGGTTTAGGGTTAAGGGTTTAGGGTATTAGGGTTTTAGGGTATTAGGGTTTTGGGTATTAGGGTTTAGGGTATTAGGGTATTAGGGTTTTGGGTTTAGGGTTTAGGGTATTAGGGTTTAGGGTTTAGGGTTTAGCGTATTAGGGTTTAGGGTTTAGGGCTTAGGGTATCGGACAACAGCTGCAGTTTAGGAATTGGAACTTTTAGTCTAGGGTTGAGGGTGATACTTCGAGGATCATGGGACCTAGCAAGTAAGGTTACAAGAACCTCATTGGGGGTTAGAAGTAATTAGATGTATAGTTACCTTGTTACTAAGTCCCATGATCCTTTAAGTAGAGCTTCGGGGTTTTCGAGTTTGTCAAGAACATGCCACCCTGATGATTGCGGCATTGGCAGTGAGCCTTACATGTTGTGTGACCGGTAGCATGTGAGACCGAGACCCGAAAATCCCAAATCCTGCAAACCTAACCCCCTGAAACCTTAAACCCTAGACCCTAAACCCTGAAACCCTAAACCCTAAACCTTAAATCAAGGCCTTGCAGGCCCTGGGCCCGAAACCCTACGTAGGAGACTGGACCTTGTGATGCAGCAAGACTGGTGCAAAGATGCTCGCATAACTACACGAGTCTAGGAATCAGGGTTTTGGAGATTGGGGTTAAAGATTGCCGGCGCTGCAAGCAGCTAAAAAACGGAAGGACCTAAGGAGGCTCGAACCCACAGGTTGAAGCAACGTCCAGGGTACTTCTAATTTTCGACGATGATGTTTAAATTTGCTTGCCTTGACAAGTCATCAACCCAGCCTTGCCTGCCCTAAACTCCCCAGGTACCTACTATATGGGGCCCTAGGGGCTCTAGTACCCTATACAGTTAGTGGGTACCTGGGGGGTTATAGGGCCCTAGGGGCTCTAGTACCCTATATAGTGGGTACCTGGGGGGTTAGGGCTGGATGATGTGTGTGGCCTTTTGCAGCCGCGTTCATTTCACGAGTGGAGCGTTTAGGGGGTCAAGGGGATCTCACCTGCCGACAGCATGCACCTTGACGGCAGTCTGGTAGCGCCCCACCCTAAACTCGGACTATTCAACCTTTGCTGGAATTAAGATAACAGAGCCCCAGCAGGGTTTAGATCAGTAAGCGCACGACGAACTAAGTGTCGATAGAGCAACACAGGGCCAGCACTAGTCATTCTAGTGACAGTATGGTATGGTACTTGGATCCATTTCCCAGCCCGCGGTATTGAAGGCAGCAGCTGTAAGACTTTGGAGGAGCTTTACATCACCAAGTGAGGTAACTGGCAACATGATGGTGCGATTCAGGAAACAGAATATACACTGTGCACCCGCGCTCTTTTCTACACTTAAAGACACTGCAGCAACTGTAGCAGACACAGTGGCCGTACCGATAGCCATTTGGCGATAGCATTTGCAGTCCCGAGCTGCTGTTGTGCAAAGCGGTCATCAAGAGTTCTCAAAATATTCTGCAGTGCAGCAAGAAGACATAGACCAATAGCTGTGTTCTACCACGAACAACAACTCTACTCACTAGTCGTTGTTCAAGTTCAACTTCATGATGCCAAGAGCAAACCATGGAGGAGCTACTCCAGCATTGCAGCAGCAGTAGCAGCAACACTGCGGATAGCAAGACTGGCAATAAGCAGTTCATAGTTCTTGAGGTCGCAACAGCCTCGAAATGAGGTCACCATCAGGTGTACCAGTCGTGAGAATGCATGTGCTTGCTCATCATGATCCTCGTAGAAGTACATGCGACTATCTCCACGGATAAACGGTGGGATGTTTGCTCCTGGCTTATCCATTATGAAGAAGCCTCGTACGTGCACTGACAGCTGCCAAGGGACCCTGCATGCAGTCACCAACTCTAATGCATCCCCGACTTCATGTCATAAAGTTGAGGTTTAGTGGTACTTATATGTCAAAGGTGAGAAACAGTCGAATGTCACTCCTAGCTGGAATCTGGAACGTGTTAAATCGATGGCCAAGCAATGCTGAGGTTCACATGCTGCCAAGGCTATTCGTCAAACTCCAACATGGAGGACTGGTCGTTGCACCGGTGAGCAGTCTAATGTAGGAGCCTAATAATTACCAATTTCCAGTACTATTTTGGTGCTCCTTTTTAGAAATTTTGTATACTGGGCCCCGAAACCTTATATTATTAAGGCCCATATATTGGAGCTGAAGGGATCCCGGTAGAGCCCAGTATGTTTTCTCACGTAGTTCGGGGTTCCACCCTCCACATTTCCAATAGAGCTTTGGGATATACACTACCATACTTAAAGGATCGTGGGACTTAGTAAGTAGGGTTATAAGTCCCTTAATTGGGGTTATAAGTATAGTTATCTTAATTATAACCCTACTTACTAAGTCCCATGATCCTTTAAGTAATGATGTAGGGGCCATAAAGTAATGCTGCTATATAATGTCTATGATAGGGACGAAAAAAACGAGTACAACTAGTATCTGCGACTAGCTCCCTAAGCCCCAATCTACCCCCTCACTTCCTATATATATATATATATTATTTATTTATTTACTTATTTATTTGTTTGTTTATTTATATACATACATGTTCTTTTTGCCAGGGATAGCTCGCAGCCTGAGCTTCTGATAATGAACACGCCGGGCGCATTAGCTGAATCACGTAGCACTCACTGAGATTTCGACAGGGAGCACCCTAACCCCCCAGGTACCTACTATATAGGACCCTAGGGGCTGTAGTACCCTAGGGTTTAGGGTTTAGGGTTTAGGGTTTAGGGTTTGGGGTTTAGGGTTTAGGGTTTAGGGTTTAGGGTTTAGGGTTTAGGGTTTAGGGTTTAGGGTTAGGGGAAGTTCAACCTTCTCCTCACCAAAACTGTTTGGATTCCTAGAGCACTCTGACCATGTCTAACTCTACGAGGACGATGTCCGCTAGGCTACGAGTATCAACTGCGGTTCTTCTGGTTACTTTGGTTATTTCTAATCTCGAGATAAGTGTCAATACCAGTCTTGGTGCTCATTGAGGTTGGTGCTTTTGTTGTTGCTGCCAGTGTTATCCTTAACCCTAAACCCTAAACCCTAAACCCCTAAACCCGAAACCCCTAAACCCCTAAACCCCTAAACCCCAAACCGTAAACCCTAAGCCGGAAAGCCTCAAACCGCTGAGGCCCCAAACCTCAATTTGTGAAGATTCTTCCGTGGGGCTTGGGCTTTGGGACCCGCTGTAAGAACCAGGGAACCTTACGTCCTTTCCGTTTCATGGGTTTAGGGTTTAGGGTTTAGGTTTTAGGGGTGGCAGGTTGTTCAAAGGTTCCATGAGGGTTTAGGATCACTCAGCAGTGCCCTCTTTCCCTTCTGTTTCGGGGGCTCACGTTTATTCAAACGGTACAAATACGGAAGAGGGTACCCTCACAACCAAATGGATGTTGGGCATTCAGGCAACTGCACCATCGCATCTCGTGGCTCTCTCCTCAAGTAAGTACTGATGAGCCTTACACTTTCGAAAGCCTTTATATTAAAAACCTTAAGCCCTAAACCCTTAAATCCCGACATCCCCCGACCCCAAAAACCAGTTGAAACCTAAACCCGAAACCGTTGGCAGGAGCGCCTGGGTGGGGTGGGCAGCTCCTTCGTCAATGCCGATGAGGCCACGCCTAAGGCGGCCATTCCTAAATCATGCGTCGGCCGCTTGCATGAACTTCGATTTCGGGTTTGGGGCTTTGGGTGCAGGGTTTAGGGTTACAGGGCCTGGAGGTCAGGGTACCTGACCTTGGGGTTTAGGGTTTAGGGCATCCTTCGGATTTAGAGGTTTAGGGTTTAGCGCCTAGTTCGGATTTAGGGGTTTAGGGGTTAGGGTCACTACATGCACGAGTTGGTGCAGAGTTGGCGCTTCAGGTTTTGCTGGGGTCCGTTTTCGACCTGATCCCTAAACCCTAAACCCTAAACCCTAAACCCTAAACCCTAAACCCTAAACCTTGAGGTTGGGAGATTTCGAGTTGGGGTTGTGCCGCCTTTTGCGGCCATGCTGCTCTGCTAGTCCAACAGCCGAATCCCAAAGTCTCCTGCTTACTGACAGTGGTTTAGGGCCGTTTAGGGTTTGGGTTTAGGGTTTTGGGTATAGGGTTTAGGGGTTTAGGGTTTAGGGTTTAGGGGTTTAGGGGTTTAGGGGTTTAGGGTTTAGGGTTTAGGGTTTAGGGTTTAGGGGTTTAGGGTTCAGGGTAACCCTAAACCCTAAAACCTAAACACTAACCACAGCTCTGCACCGTTCGGCTGAGGATGGACTGACAACCTGATCCTGGCTACAGACAGCTACAAGTTCAGCAGCTCGCTTTAGGTTGGTTGGTTGGTTCAGGGTTTAGGGTTTAGGGGTTTATAAGGGTTTAGGGTTTAGGGTTTTAGGGGTGAGCAATTTGGGGTTCGGTTCAGGGCTAAGCAGAAGATGTAGCATTCAGTGCTGTGGTATCGGGGCTTGGGGCTGGGTGGATAGGGATTGAAAGCGGTGTTTCGGGGGAGGTTCCGGAACTTGCAAATCAAACAACTCTGGTAGGGCCAGTCTTCATTTTTTATATGCGGTTAGGGTCCCGGCTTTAAGATAGAGCTTTCATCCTTGAGGATTTAGCGATACTGGGGTGGACGGTAAACATTCCATGTTCCCGAAAGACGTCTGACTGAGTGTAGCTACAACAGCTATAGGCCTGCTTCGTCCGGCTCCCTGCTACCAGGTCACTGGAAGCAGTATCCAAAGGGCACTCAGTATGTGGCTTGGCACAAAGAGTGCTGGGTTTCAGCTTTGAGGTGGCATTTCAGGCACCAGAGGCTTGGGACCTGTTTGCGATTTAAGCTGCCAGACCTGCAACCAAGCCATGCATGCAGCCCCCCGCACCCAAAGCATTGATCTCGCCAAGCTACATCTTTAAGCTACTCCGCCACTATACAAAACCCTCCTTACCCTGAGCTTGTAGCTCCGTATCACCTTCAAACGGCCTCGCACGGTGTTCTTCGTGCTGAATTCCGCCCCTGGTGCTAGCTGCAAGACTTGCTCTCAGAAGCTTCCGAAAACGTCCTCACGAGACCCCCAATCAAACGCTGCAAGCCGCACCCTAGCAGCCCACCCCTACTAAACCGTCAAGGACAGCTCTTCTCGTCCCGACGCTTCATTCCTAGCTCCTGCAAAACCCAAAGGATTATATACACTACTATTTCAGAACTTAGGCCCCCAAACAAAACCATGATTACCATGGTCTTTAGAGGCCTAATTCCATAATGGTCGTATCTTTGGGCCCTCTGGGAAAGGTCTACAGCTACTTCGAGAGCCGCGGCTGCGACCGCGAAGGCTGGAACGAGGCCGATACCGTGGGGTTGGATGCTCGCTGGGGTAGTTGGAGGATCATGGGACTTAGTAAGTAAGGTTCTAAGTCCCTTAACTGGGGTTATAAAGTAAATATAAATATAGTTACCGGAATTATAGCCCTACTTACTAAGTCCCATGATCCTGTAAGTAGGGGCGTCTCAGAATGGGGGGGTCCTTTTCTGGGGGGTCCTTATATATGTCAGGGATCTCAGTGTTCGGGTCCATGTTGGGAGAGGGGTGCGGGCGCTGCAGACTATACTTGGAGTGCTGGGTAGTTGACATCGGTGATGCTAATAGCATCAACATGGAGGAGGCAATCAGCGAGAGTGGAGTGAATAGATTCTGTACCACCTCAGCGAGATCTGATTGAGTAAAACCCATGAGTTAAGGATCGAGAGTTCTTCGGCTGGGGTTTGTGGATGCTGGCTGGTTTGTGGGTTCCAGACTGATGAGCTTCAAACGCTCAAAAGGCAGACGTGGGTACAAAGCCCAAGCTTCCTTTGCCATACCTTGACCAAGCACAGTCCTGTCGGTATCTCTTGCGAGGTCTGCTTCTTCGGACTCCAGTACTTCATCAAGCGCTACCTGTGTGGTCAGGCACCGAAAGACCCATCCTCCCACCAGCCAGCAAACATGAGGACAATGCCGATGAGGAGGATTATGAAGATGAAGATGAAGATGAAGATGAAGATGAAGATGAAGATGACGACGAGGATGCTGATGCCGATGGATATGATGATCATCGTCAACATCATCGTCATCATAATCATGGCAGAGTGTGCGTCCGGTGATGCTGCTAGTGAAGTGCTGCTGCTGCTGATGATGATGATGATGATGATGATGATGATGATGTCGTTTTTCCTGCTGCTTTGAGCAGCTACTACGGGTGATGCTCGTCGCAGGGCCGAAACTGACAGACGCCTTACACATCCATACAGCAACGGACACGGAAGGCATAGCAAGCCTTCTGTTCCTGACGACAGCATGGAAACGGAAGTTTGAAGGTCCCACCCCGAAAGCCTTGGCATGCCTTGTGCTACAACTGGCAGCCGGGTTGGTTCTGAGATGTAGGGCGGCTGGGCAGCCAAAGCTGAGCCCATGGGAGCTGTGGCCTCAATTGTATTTGAAATCATGTAATTTGCAACACATGCAGGAAAACACACTCCTTGCAGCCCTCCTAAAACCCCTACATCCTAGACCCACTAGGTGCTCCAAGTAGCTCTCCATCCCAAAGCACCCAAATGGTGGTTCCCGAAAATAGGGGACCCTAAAAAAGTACCCTAAATAGTAGGATCCTTATTATACGGACCCCAAAACCAGGTACCCCGTATTTTCGGGAACTCCCAAATCATGTGATCTCGTGCCAGGTCATTACTCGCGCGAAGATTGACGAGGCCGCAGAGCACTCGCCTCAGCTATGCGAACTCTTAATCATACGAGTCGCAGTAATAATAACTATATAATAGGAACGAGAATAATAACAGTTTACATGGTATGTACATATAAATAAATAAATAAATATAAATATATGTATATATATATATATATATGAATGTGTATGTATGTATATATATATATATATACATATATATGTACATATACATAAGAAGACGAATCATTGAGCCACCTTACAAGCCCAAACCCTGAGCCAGGTAATCATTGTAATCCTAAAGCTACACAAGGAATGTCGTGTAAACCCTAAACCCTAAACCCTAAACCCTAAACCCCTAAACCGCCTAAACTACAATCCTAATTCGAAACCCATGGCGAACAAGACATGTGGGCACGTGGGAGCCATGAGTTCCCCCTTGGCCGTGGACGAGTCGCAGCTCGGAGAATGATGATGAGATGAATAGTAGACGAGGCGCTAAACCCTTAGCCTAAACCCTAAACAGTATAAACTGACAGAACAGTGGCGAGTGAACACCTTGGTGAAGAGGCTGACCCGCGAATTAACCGTAGACGTAGGCCCTAATCCCAAAGGCACAACTCCGCAAAAGCCCTCTATCTCAGACCCCGAACGCGTAAGCCCGAAATGTTCGATGCCCTAAACACGCAACACTGAGCCACCAGAAAGACTCCGAACACCTCAAGCATCCAAGGACTCAAGGCGTGGAATGAAATGCAGGTGGGAGGAAGCAGTCCTTCCTTGCACTAAAGCTCATCTGGGATTCCCTTATCTGCCTTCTCCCCACCCTAAACCCTAAACCCTAAACCGCCAGTCCTTTGAAAAGCCGAGGCTCTGCGCCGAGCACTTCCAAGGCGACGGTCTCTTCTACAAGGAGGGCAGCCTGGCAGCATTCCGAGTCGTCGCGTTTCGGGTTTTGGGGGGGTTTAGTAGTTTGGGGTGTTTAGTAATTTGGGGTTTGGGGTTCGGTTTCGGGTTTTGGGGGTTTTGTAATTTGGGGTGTTTAGTAATTTCGGGTTTGGGGTTCGGGGCAGTCTAAACCCGCTCCCAACAGTTAGTTCCTGTGTGAGTATACCAACCCTTTTGCAACGATTCAGGCCCCAGTAGTGGCGATGCTGCCCCAGGTGCTGCATTCAGGATGCGCATGTGGCTGTAGGGATAGACGTGCAAGTGAACCCTCAAAGAAACGGCAGCTCATGGGCTCTTGGGAAGCTGCTAAGCAACTTCAAACTCCGCGCTGCAGCACGTTTACAGTGGAAGCCAGAAAGTTAGAACATTGCTATCCTCATGCCCTTTCTGGGTGAAGTATAGGCAAGTCGTCCCCCTAAACCCTAAACCCTAAACCCTAAACCCTAAACCCTAAACCCGAGCCTCCGTAGCTCACGGTGGCTCCACTTGAGGCTTCGAGTACATCCTGAAGAAGCACGGAGGCGAGGGCCGAAAGATCAGAGACAGAGGTTTCATGAGCCATGGATCCGACACACTTACTTTGGGCAGCCAGGGATTTAGGGTTTAGGGGTTTAGGGTTTAGGGCTTAGGGTTTAGGGTAGATCCGACTTGGGAACCCTGCAAACCGTGAGTTGAGTTGAGTTTCCTTGGAGGCCAGCTGACAGCAGTGTTCTGACTGCCTAATATGGGAGCCTGAAAATTTTACCAATCAACACTATTGTTCCTGAGTGTTGCTTAAGTTTGTTACATCAGAGTACAGCATTGCCAGAACACTTTACTCAGTAGATTACCGCTCTTACATGAATGACCTGGTGAGCTCAGCGCCTGAAAGGACGGCTTCCGATTGAGATCAAGGCCCTCCCGGAAGGCGCCGAAGTGGGATTACGCTCTCAGATACAAAGAAAAGCCTTAGGGCCTAGGCTTTAGTGCAGAGACAAAAAGAGTAACTATGTATTGAAGCCAACATGCAGACTTTCTGTAAGAGCAGCTCCTTTAAATCAGGGTTTAGTGTTGCAGAGTGTGGCAGGGGTTGGGATGATTGGGATGTCGCGGTTTGGGGTGTAGGGATATGAACAGATGCTCTGAGTTACAGATGGTGAGTGTAGAGTGGTGCGGGGATGTCTGATTCCATGGACCCTTAAGTTGTAGGGTTTCAAGCTTTAAAACTTAAAACCCTAAACCCTAAACCCCTAAACCCCTAAACCCCTAAACCCCTAAACCCTAAACCCTAAACCCTAAAACCCTAAACCCTAAACCCCTTTGTTTCCGGATTGTGTGTCAGGCCCGTTGCAGTTCGAGGCTTCAGAGCCACCAGGGCGAGAATCGTAGTCATGGTCCTAGGTTCCCCAGTAGTACCCTTTTGCCCTTTTGTCTTTTTAGGTTCCCTTATCAATAAAACCAAATAGTAGGAAAAAGGGTACCCTTAGTATTTAGGGGCTACTGGGGAACCTAGTGGTGCTCTGCCGAATGGTCGGGATCACCAGAGTAGGGATAAAGTAAGAAATGGACATAGGCAGGAGATTTGTATTGGAACCTTGGGGAGTTTCAGATCATGGAGGTCCTTGAGGTCCTTGATTTAAAACCCTCCCAGATAGTAGGATCCCTCTTCCAAGCTAAACCCCTCAACCCTTGAACCCTAAACCCCTAAATGCGAAACCCTAAACCCTAAACTCCTAAATCCGAACTAGGCCCTAAACCCTGAACCTCTAAGTCCGAATTAGGCCCTAACCCCTGAACCTCTAAATCCGAACCAGGCCCTAAACCCTAAACCTCAAGGTCAGGTAGCTCTGCCCCCAAACTGCTGCCAGGCCCTAAGCACCCATGTCTCGAGAAAGAGGATGCCGTTTCAGAGCCTCCAGCAACGACGAGGGTTCATAATATAGGGTTTAGGGTTTAGGGTTCAGGGTTTAGGAGTACATGATGCTAGAATTATAATAGGGTGCCCCCAAAGCTAGTGTTGGTAATGATTTGGGCTTAATGCTTAAATGTAACCCAATTCCTACAACATAGTAGGTTTTGAGTCTAGGAGTTTTTGTAAGGGTGCCGTACTATGTTGGGGACCTAAAAAGGGACCCTAATTTAGAGAACTACCGGTATATTCAGGATCCTACAACGTAGAATCTATATCTGAAGTTCATTGGATCCTGAAGCTTCGCAAAATGGTGGCGAAGACTTGGCTGCCAGTACAATGCCCCATGACATACTTGCATGAACTGTAGCCTCTAACCCTAAACCCTGAACTCTTTAATTCTAAGCCCTAAACTTGGGGCTAAACCCTCAACCCTAAAACCCTAAACCCTAAACTCTTTAATTCTAAGCCCTAAACTTGGGGCTAAACCCTAGACCTAAAACCCTAAACCCTGAACCCTAAACCAAGACCTGATCAGGCATGGTGGTGCCGACGAAGACAGCGCTCTTCACAATGGTAGCTAGGCTGTCCAGAGGCATACGTTCTACTTTCTTGTTTCGAGGTTCCTATTGCAACATAACTTTCGCAAGAGCACGTATTGTAACCCTTATAGAATCCTTATGGTATCCCCCAAAATACAAAAACTGACCCAGTGCCTCTCTGAACGACCGAGGTGAACACAGATCCCGAGTGCTTCTGGCTGACCAACTTCCTCGAGACGCTCTTGGTTCAGGCGGTTTAGGGACTTCGGGTTCCTTTAAGGCCTTTAAGTAAGGGTTTAGGGTTCCTGTAAGGCCTTTAGGGGTTTAGGGTTCCTTTAAGGCCTTTAGGGGTTTGGGATTCCTTGCAGGCATTTAAGGGTTTAGGGTTTAGAGTTCCTTTAAGGCCTTTAATCGTTTAGGGTTAAGGGTTTAGGGTTCCTTTAGAAGCGTTGCTGTAAGTGTTATAAAACGCCAAGAGATCTACGGGTCGGGGTTTTGGGGCTTCTTCCAGGGTTTGGGGCTTTAGGGTTCAGGGCAGGATTTGGGTTTGGGGTTTAGGGTGCTACTGCTACTTCAATAACTATCGCTACTCGCACTACCACCACCAAGCCACCAATACGAATCACATGCGAATTGCTATTTGTCAGCCTGAGTTTTGATGTGGCACAAGTTGAGACCCCGAAGCCACAATTTTGGCGGTTCCTTAATACACCCCAAAACCCTAAACCCTAAACCCTAGTCTACTTATTAAGGCCCCTACACTATATGTTAGCCCGAAACCTTCCAGTCCAGTCTTCGGGTCACCAATCAAACGGCGGATCTGTGCCCATTTCGTGAAAGCCGTCAAGTCAAGTTCGGGCCTGGGTTCGGGGCTCAGGATTTATAGGTTTATAGGTTTACAGGTTTAGGGTTTAGGGTTTAGGGTTTAGGGTTCAGGGTTTACGGTTTAGGACTCAGGGTTCAGGGTTCAGGGTTTATAGTGTTTTGTGTTTAGGGCCATCGCCCGAAAACTCAAACCGAAAGTCTGTTGTATTTCGGTTCTTCGCAGTCATTGTCGCCCAACGAGAGCTTGAAGAATTGCATCCGATTGCACCCTAAACCCTAAACGCCTAAAACTCTAGACCTCTGAACCCCTTCACCCCAACCCCTAAATACCAAACCCCTAAAACCTTCCCCCCACACCCCCAAACCCTTCCCAAACCCTAAACCCTAACCCCTGAACCCCTAAACCCTGCTGCCTGACCAGGTGTGGTATCCGATGACTGTCTGCAGCAACAGCCGCTACCAGAAGATCTCCATTCAGAAGGCTTGAGATCTTAGAGGGTTTAGGGTTTAGGGGTTATAAAGGGGGTAGAGTTTAGGGGTTAGGGGTGAAGGTTTAGGGGTTTAGGGGTTTGGGTTTTGCATGTAGGGTTTAGGGGTTTAGGGCTCTAGGGTTTGGGGGTTTAGGGGTTTAGGGTTATAGAGGCCCGAATAAGAATACCATTCCGTGGGGTGCCTCAATGTAAATGTCCACTATCATAGTATACTGTGAAACCCTATTGTAGTTATTAGGGCCGCTTCTCGTACTGATGCCCAAATCTTCAAGGCAACACCATTGGCGATGCCAAGCCTGACAAAAAGACCGACCAACCATGAACCGCGAAGATTATTTCAGTCTCAACTAGTATCTTGACAGTCATACTCGTCGCAGTATTCGAGGTATGTGCCGGTTTCAACCGCAGTCGCATTTTCGCGGCCGCTACCATCACACTCAAGATCAACATGAACATCATTACCGTCATCACCCTCGGTAGTACAATTGCCATTGCCACTACTATGTGCAGCCCTAAACCCTACAGAACTATAACCTGTACCCTAACCCCAACCACAATCCCTTAAACCCGACACTCAGCATCGTGGTGTTACGCAGTCCAGAGCACTTGAAAGCTGGGGCAGACCCTTAACCCTGAAACAGAAGAATCCAAAACCCAAAGCCCAAAAGCTTTCAATTCTACAGACCGCAGGGGACCGACACGCCCTGGGTCTAAAGTTCTGGAAGGATCATGGGACTTAGTAAGTAAGGTTATAAGTCCCTTAATTGGTGTTATAAGTAAGTATAAGTATGTTTAGGGCTTAGGGTTTAGGGTTTAGCGTTTAGTTAGTTACCTTAATTGTAACCCTACTTACTAAGTCCCATGATCCTTTAAGTACCCTGAAGCCTGACAAGTTCAAGAGCAGGCGCTGGAGGAGACGGGCATGACAGAATGGGCACTGCCGGGAGGTGTCCCGACGTGGGTATGAGTTCGGGGTTTGAGTGGTCTCGGGATCAAAAAGGTTTAAAATAGGGGCCGTAGCAATTAGAATAGGGTGTTGGGGCCCATTATACTATGATTATAATAAGGAACCCCCTTCAAAAAAATAGTATAGGTAATTATTTCGGCCCCTACATTATGGGCTGAATGATGAGTTCCAGTATTCCTTCGGGCTCCCTGATTATATTGGGGTTGAAGGTCTTTGGTTTCGGTATGGTGTCTAATGCGGAGGATTGGGAGTTAAGCGGGATTCCATGGCGGGTCGAGATGTTAGGGTCCGGCCTCTGGGGGTACGAGGAAGCAGGAGTTTAGCGATTCAGGACCGGGGATGAGGGTAGGGGGGCGAGGGTTTCGGCTCTAGCTCAGCATCTTTTAGAGTGTCTTTTCTTGGGCATCTTTTAGGCGTCTTTTCTTGGCTTTAAGAACGTGAGATGTTTTTGCTTAGGCTTGCAGACGTGGTATGAATGTTGGGCTTACCGGGCTTGTGTATTTTAGCATTTCGTTACTGTTTCGTGGCATGTTGTTGCTGCTTCTTTGTATTCTCAGAGTACCACGCTCCAAGATCGGAAAACAAAGATGCAGACAAGGATGCTTTGGGAAAGGCTGGCAAAACAGAGAAACCGGACGCTGCCAGCGAGAGGTTGCCTGAAGAACGGTTGTGATGTTGCTTTCCTTTTCTTACATGCCCCAGCCAGTGGCCAAACGAACGAAGTGAAGTCGGACTGTGCCGTTACATTTCGCTCCCTCTCCCCGGGTCGCTGTAACGGCTTTCTTCATCAACCCCGCAAGTTGACTGTTGTTCCTAATTCACTCCTCTTGATCCTAAGCCCCTAAAGCATCGCTTACTGGAAGTCTTAGTCGTGTAGAACCTTTGTAGATCCTTCAGAGCCCCTTCGTCTCCAACACCCTAAAACCCTCAACCCTACACCCTACGAGGCCAAGCTTATATGCACACGAGATCCATAGTAGCAGCCTGACTCATGCCCTAAACTCTAAACTCTAAACCCGGAACTCCTAAGCCCTAAACCCTAACCAAATTCCTAAACCTTAAGCCCTAAACTTCCTTCTCGAACACTTTACTACGAAGCCTTTCTGCACCCAGGATCCTGGGAAGGATCCTTAAGTATGAAGTCTTCATTCACCCAGGATCCCTTGAAGGAATTCCTATACCTAGTAGTAGAGCAAGTAACCTTTGACCTTTTTTGGGGTACTCTAATCCCCATATACTCCCAAACGTAAACCTTTAGTTCCCCTGGGTATTAGATATAGATCCCCTATAGAATGCTGTTTTGTATCCAGGACCCATTAACGGAATCCTTGCAGACCCATTCCCGAATCTCTTTGTGCACCCTGGATCCCTGGAAGAAATCCTTCTAGATCCATAGACCCATAACCCATAAACCCTAACCATAAACCCTAAACCCCTAAACCCCAAACACATAAACCCTAGACCCTAAGCCCTATAAACCCCTAAACCCCAAGCCCAGAACCCATAAACCCTAACCCTAAACCCTAAACCCCTAAACCCCAAACACATAAACCCTAGACCCTAAGCCCTATAAACCCCTAAACCCCAAGCCCAGAACCCATAAACCCTAAACCCTTTTTGCACGCAGGATCGGGCTTCAAGTTGCACGATTTCGGCTTCCGCGGAGTCTCTTCCGTGGAGTCCGCGGCCATCGGAGGAGCCCCTTGGCCCCGGAGTCACTGAATTCCTGAGAAGATTTGAGATATACATTCTATAGTTGAATGAACCAGTTCGTTCATTCATACATATAAATATAAATACAAATATAAATATGAATATAAATATAAATATAAATATATAATATATATATATATATATGTATATGTATATATATATATATGTATATGTATATATATATATATGCATATATATATATATACATACTGCAGTCTAGAAGTTTAGGATTGTTGTTTGGGCCTTATGTAGAGGCATAGCATATTCATGGATATATAGGACTTTAAAAAGTTGCTCTTGCTTTTGTTTAACACCTGGTATTCGTAGGCAGAGCGTGGGGCTCGCGGATGTGCGTTACACTTGCAACATGAAAACGAATGCTGGCGCATTCGGAGTTGCGGAAAAAGCAGGTTCTGCTGTTCTGCTGGATTCCTGGTGGTCTGCTGGATTCTCCTGCTGATATCCTGGTGGTCTCCTGGTGGTCTCTTGCGGGTTTGCCGGTGGTCTCGTGGCGTTTTGCTGGTGGTCTCGTGGGGCTCTCTTCGTGGTCTCTTCGTGGTCTCCTGGTGTCGTTTTGATCGCTTGCTGGTCTCTTGTGCTTGTCCTGGTTGTCTCTTACTGGTCTCCTGGTCCTCGTCCTGGTCGTCATGGTCGCAGTTCTGTCGTCGTGGGTGGTAACATGGCGTACAAGCTGGAAAACGGGTCTTGCGCTGTTCGAGGATCTCCGCTGGCATATTGAAAAGCCATGACGGTGGTAAGTTGACGATGACGGCGAAAGCGCTGATGATGTTGCTGATGCTTTGGTTTAGTGCTGTCCTCTCGTTGTTGCAGTTGTTGATGACATTGCTGGTGTTGGTGATGACCGTGACAGGGATTCGATGAGAACGCCTCTAAGAAATAGCCATGGGCACCTAGTCCTTGAATCCCTAAATGAAACCCGAAGTTTCGACCCCCTCCCAAACCGTCAGTCCTAAGATGCAGGCAGCAACGGGCACAAACTCCCACCGCAACCAGGCTGCCCACTTGGTGAACTTTGTTGGCACTGACACTGTTGCTGCCCTTCTCTGTTGCAAGAAGTACTACGGATCAGCGCATCTCGGCAGCTTCATGAGCTCAGGGCCTCATTCTCCGGGTCGGGTTTAACGTTGGAAATGGCTACCGTTGGATTTTCGTTGTGAGTTGCGAGGTTGCAGTCATCGCTTCAAGCTTTGCTGTGCCTTTGCGTGCGTCCGCCGCTCCGCTAAATCCGGAAATGGCAAACCCAGTTTCAACCCAGTAGCCAACACCCTGCACCCCATAGCAAGAATCTTAAAACTACTTAAAGCCCATATCCTGCACCCTAGCCCCAATGATCTAGAAGCCGATGATGGAAGCCCCATGGAATCCTTCTAAAGTCCGATGTTTCTCAACCTGGTGGAATTCCCCTGACAGAGTTGAAAGCGCTACTGCAACAAGAAGCTGAAAGAATCTTGGAAGACACTTCCTACCTTAAAGCCCTACTAGCGCCCATTCCAGGACCCCATGTACAAACCCTGTTAGCAAACAACAAGTTCAAGCTTTGGAAGCTGAGGAAAGCCGCCGGATTTTCGATCCCAGCGTCGGAGCACTCGACGATCACCTCATGGGGCGTGAACGGCGAGGCATCGTCTCGGTGTTGGAGGAGCGTTCAGGATTAAGGGTTTCAGGAGTTGCGATATGAGGAGTTGGACATTTTTGGCTTTGGAGGCTATTGGGTTTGGAGTTTAGGATCTCTGTCCTACTACGGCGTATTTAACCTTCTTGACTGAGTTCTAAACGGCGATTTGCAGAGCCAAGTGTTTCTTCAGGCTGTTGCTGACGTTTGGGGTTTCGAGTCGACGAGGATATTTACCCAAAGGGTCCAAGTATTAATATGGTAGCTACTTTGTAGGTATTTGGGCCCCAAAAGTATATACTATAGTATAACTTGGACCCTTTGGCTTACGAGTTTCTAGAGGTTTTGATTCTTTGGCGCTTTCAATTCGAGGTTGCGTTAGATGGGAAATTTACCAGGTTTGTTAAACGGCTTCGGCTTCAGTGCTTTTGAGGTTTAAGTTTCAGCGGGCGGTTGGGTTTCACCTAGGGTTCATAGGTTCTTATCGGTTTTACTTATATACGGTTGGGGTTTTCGCTGAAGACGCCTCGATCCTGCAGTGTAGTGTAGGGCCTGTATAATGGGTCATGGTCTAGGTGGCAATTTGGGAGGCTTTAAAATTTCCCTTATGGTTTCTATAGAGGGCAGTATTCATAAATACTTGTCAGGGCCCTAAAACTACAACCCAGTTGTCTACAAGGATTTAGTGTGTCGACTTGGGGTTTGGAGTTTCGGGTTTTGGGCTCCTCTCTACTTGGAGGATCATGGGACTGAGTAGGTAAGGTTATAAGACCCTTAATTGGGGTTACCCTAATTATAACCCTATTTACTAAGTCCCATGATCCTTTAAGTAGACCTGGCATCGGTTGTTCCTGAACCTGGTGATGGCCGACTCCGCGCGCACGTCCCGCGACCAAGAGCGGGCAGAAGATGCCTCTGTGCAGCTTCCTGAATGCCAAGCTTTGCCGCTTCATCCAATTCCCCAAGGGTGTGGGCACGAATCCACCTTGCATGCAAGAGGCACTCGACTGTGCTGACCCAGAAATGGCCGAAATCTATCGACAACTCGTCGTCATCCGACCAATTTTCATGGTGCTTTCACTTTTCCGTACATGCCGGACATAACATCTACAACAGCTTTTACAATCATCGCATTCCTTGCCACATGCATCACCATTTTCTTCTTCATCATGCGATCATGGTTGTGGTTATGATGATAAACAGCTGTTCTTGTCATTGTTATTATCACGATTGCTTTTATGATGATTATGATGATTATCCGTCCTGGTCGGCGACTTGGCATTGCTGGCATTGGCAACGGAGTGCCAATGGCAATGCACTTAGAGACCAGGAACTGGATGGGCGGGTAGAACAAAAACGTAGCAGCAGCATGCGTAACAGCCCAACAACGATGACCATATTGTTTGTGTTTATAAACATATTCTTGTTCGCATGAACGGCCTCCGAAGGAGCAACAGGAATAGAAGCAGCGGTAGCTGCCAGAATATGGGCACCCACTATTCGCACAACAAGTCAACGATACAGCGCAGACGTATAATCCGAAAATTTGCTTCCTTGGCTCCCCAAAGGGTCCAAGTATTAATATGGTAGCTACTTTGTAGGTATTTGGGCCCCCAAAGTATATACTACAGTATAACTTGGACCCTTTTGGCTCCAGGTCGATGCCATGAGGAACATGCTGACCCAGTACCCAACAGGGTTGGTCGCCTGCGCCCTCGCCCCAGACGGGTTGGAAATGTTCCATATGACAAGAGCAGTCTGTTGTAAGCACACCCAGGGTTTAGGGAGTTTAGGGTTCAGGGGTTTNNTTAGGGTTTAGGGTTTAGGATTTTCCCCTGAATTAAGGCCCAATCCTTACGTGCCACCCAGATTGGAAAGCAAGTTTTCAGTGCAGGCCTGTTGAATGCAAGTGTGCCTCGACCATACCGTAAAGTAGCATGGTCGCCGTGCATGTGCTATGTACGCATTTGTATACACATGAACCGATGTCATATGCTTAAATGCCATGCTTTTGTGAAGCTGTGGGTGGGTGGGTGGGTGGGTGGCTGGGTGGGTGGGTGGGCGGGTGGGTGGGTGGGTGGGTGGGTGGGTGGGTGGGTAGGTGGGGGCCAGGTTGCTAGGTGGGTAGGCCGGGCAAAAAAGTATTAAGGCTTCTACATTATCTGGTTGATAGAAGAGTTGGTTCTTGAAAGCGTGGAATCAAGCCTAGTGCTGCCTTGTATAAGGGACATAGCGCAGACTTCTGCTGATGGACGAAATCCTGCATTTTTCCAAAACCAGGACTATGACGGTAGGGTCTAGGGTTGTTTAGGGTTTAGGGTTTAGGGTACCTTAAGTCCCCTGCCTTGATGGGTTTTAGGGCTGCGGCTGCGGCAGTGCAAGGGTTTTGTCCATCAGCAGTACCAGAGCCCTTAAGCTCAGGTCAGCGACTCCTTCGACGTTTTCAAGGCTTGCAAGGACGGCGGGCGATTGGCCAGGGACGGGTCCCAGAAACTAGAAAGCCATGATCTCCCACCCAAACCCTAAACCCTCAAGCCCTAAACCCTAGAATCAAACCCTAAACCTTTAGCCCTAAACCTTAGACTCCCTGTAGACCCTGAAACCCTGAACCCTAAAGCCCCAAAGCGAAAGCCCCAACACCCCGAAGGCTGAATTGCGTCCTAGCCGAAGGCCCTCAGCTTTTCTTCCTCGGTGAGCCTCTGCAAGCTTCATATATAGGGGTTGGTGGGAATAGTTGATAACTATAGTCCCCTATAGTGCTTTACTAAAATGCAGCCCAAAACCCTATTTTAGATATTTAGGCCCCTGTACTAACTCATCGTCTCCATTGTATTTGACTTAGCCCACTTTATTGCTGCGACCCTACAGTGCCGAGAGTGCCGATAAACGTGGGCCTGCAGATAAACTAGGCAATCATACGAGGAACGACAACCATTACTGATAGGATCCTGTAAATAGGCAAGCTAGTAGAAACAAGGAACTCCACCTAGACCCTCCATCTACCCTCTACTAGACCCTAATGACCCGTGATTTGCGACCCTAAACCCTAAACCCTGAACCCTAAACCCTAAACCCTACCCCTAAAGTCCCGCTAGATGAGGGCACCTAAGTAGGGTCCTTTTGCAAGGACTACTGGGGCGACAAGCTCAAGGACCTGATCAAGGGCCGATGCCTCAGCAGCCGAGATATAAGATGGGGTTTAGGGTTTGGGGTTTGGGGTTTAGGGTTTAGGGTTTGGAGTTTGGGGTTTGGGGTTTGGGGCTTTGCGTTTAGGGTTTGGGGTTTCGTGTTTGGGGTTTGGGGCTTAGAGTTTGGGGTTTGGGGTTTAGGGTTTAGGGTTTGGGGTTTGGGGTTCAGAGTTCAGGGTTGAGGGTTTAAGGGTTCAGAGACTAGATGATACTATCATCTACTCTGCTATACTGCCATAGACTATAATGGAGTATCATATACTCATCTACTGTAAGATACTGTCATATACTATAATTACCCTAAACCCTAAACCCTAAACCCTAAACCCTAAACCAATAATACACACCCTCAGCCGCAAAACCCTAGACTCCAACACAGAGAGCCTAAACCCGAACACTCGAAACCCCAACTTCACAAAAAAACGCTTAAACCCTCAACCCTAAACCCTAAACTCCAAACACGCAGCCTGGCCCTTTTACATGTTTTTCGGGGACAGGTGATTCTAGATATGACGGGTTGCGGGGTTTGGGGTCGTGCCTGAGGGCAGCTAGGGGTCTGATCGCGTGAGGGCTTGGCAGCGGGATGCATGGAGTTTAGGGTTTTGGGTTTTGGGTTTAGGGTTTAGGGTTTTGGTTTAGGGTTTAGGGTTTAGGGTTTCAATTGGGCTAGACTTGATGCAAGAGGCAGAGCTTAGACGATCTATAAGTACCAAACAATGTCAGCAGCACCGTATCTAGAGCCTCAACCCCCAAAGTTCGGCACGCGTTTGACCCGAAACTCGAATCCCCAAATTCCAGACTACTTACTATTTCAGGCCGGATTACCGGGGACAGCTTTGGGCGCCTGGTGGTTCGCCCGGACAGTGGCGATCCGGCGGACACTTGCAAGCAGATCCTCAAGATTCTGTGCAGAACTCAGTTCTTCCTACTGGTAGTGCTTGATGCTACCGAAGAAGACAGAACCTGAACTACGGCGACGACAAGACTAACAACAGCAGAAGCATCAGCAGCAGCACCAGCGCCAGCGCCAGCGCATCAATAACAACAACAGCAACAACAACAACAACAACAACAACAACAACAACCACAACGATAACGACAACGACATCGACAACGACAACGACAACGACAACGACACCACCACCACCACCACCACCACCACCACCACCACCAACAACAACAACCACAACAACAACAACAACAACAACAACCACAAAAACAACAACCACAACCACAAGCACAACCACAACCACAACCACAACCACAACCACGACAACAACAACAGCAACACCAGCCGCAACACCAACATTTAGACTAACACCAGCACCAGCAACTGCAACTGACCGTGACATCCC